AGCAGATATTTAATTTACCTGGAATAATTATTTAGCCACTACAGCCTTAAGAGGTAGAAACTGATGTTACCATTTTATAAATGTGAAAATTGAGGCCCAGAGAGAGAAGTAATGTACTAAAGGGTCAGACCAGGGTATGAACTCAGACGTTTAGTTTCTAGAATCTACATTGTTTACCATGGTATACTATTACCTACACACAAAATAATTTTAACCAATTGGGAAAAAAATGTAGGATTTTGTGTCTTGGATGAGTCACCCAATATAGCAACAAGTGAGGTGGAGGAACTGGTGGACACAGTCATTCATAGCTCTCAATTAGGAAAGCATGAAACTTCAAAAGAGATGGTGGCAAATGGGTCTATACCAAACTAAAAAAATTCTGTACAGCAAAAGAACTATTATTAGAACAAAAAGACACCCTAATGAGTGGGAAAAATATTTGCACATCATACATCAGATACCACAGAAGGATTCTTCCAACAGGTTAGCATATCACTGACACATTAAGGGAACATGATGTGGTAACTGGTATTTATTGAGTGTTTAACCATGTTCTAGGTACTATTCTAATGATCTAATATATTATCTCATAACTACCAAATTGCATATGAAGAAGTAGAGGCACAATGCAGAGGTAGAACTTACCCATAGTCACATAGCTAGTAAGTCATGGGGCTCAGATTAAAAATTAAGGAACCAAGTGCCAGAATGATGGCTCTAATCTAATACACTGCATTTGCCCTGCTGTTCTTAAGAGGGCATTTTATATGTGGCTTTTTAACCCTACAACTGAATTAATTAAAAAGAAAATTTCTGAGAGCCACCAGGGCACGGCATTATGAAGCATCTGTAACTGATAAACATATGAATATGACATTTTTTATTACCTTCAGGCAACTTAATCTCTAGTAAAGGGGATACAAATGTGAATAAATAATTATACTTCACCTTCATGGCTGGATATAGTATTGCTTGATTAATGTGGGTGAGTGAGGGCTCCTTAAGTTATACTTTGGACATATGGAGGTAGAGGACCTTTGTTGGAATATGAATGCTTTTGGAATTCTGTTTCTTCCTCATATGAACACAAATTCAAGGTGATGCTCCCTGAAGTATATGGTGAATTTTGTAATTTTAATTCACTTTGAGTATATGTCATAAAAAAGCAAAAGGATTTTTTTTTCAGGCATTAATTACTCATGTTGCCAAGGGAAAGGTTTGAGAAGAAACTTATTAAATAAAAAATTAATATGACTAAAAAAATGCAACTTCTGAGTCTCTCCCTTTATCAGAATGAAATGAGTGATATCATTATCAAAAGAAAGACACCTTAATTTATTCTTTAATTTGGATAATCCACTGGGAAGAAACCTTGATATTCATAGATAGGAAGGTGAGAGAAATCAGTCCTGCTAGAATCATTCTTTCAGTTGTCAGCACATTTTAATGAAATGCCAGTCTTTTCATGCCAAATCCTGAAGGAAAACTGAGTACCGATTGATGAAATGATTTCACTCCCAAATGGAGTCTAAACTAAAATAAAGTCTTTCCCATTTTGCAAAGCACAGCACTCTAAAAGTTCAAAAGGTAAGACATACTTTCAGTGTGTATAAACTGTGGAGTACATTTGAAAATAAAATTTTTAATTGTGTTTGACATCTCAGGCCCAGTGCTGTCATCATGTACGAAAGTAACATCTGTTTTGACATCTCTAGTGGTGGAGACTTTAGATCAGATTCCTCATTGCTTATCTGCTGGCTAATCAGAATGGGTGCAACGTGCTTTTTACCATCTCATATACAGGGAAGAAAGAAAAGAGATGCAGAGAAGTAAGGCTGGGCTTAAACTGATATGGAAAAAAATCTAAACACTTGTTTGAATATATTATATCTAAGATTTACTTCAATGCATAATTCGAAAATATTCAACTTCTAAGTGTGAAGTTTTTTCCTTATTCCTGATATATCTTTGACTTAAAACTAATAAACCAGTAAAACATATTTTACTTCTTAAACATTAGATTTTATCTGAAGCTCATGATTGTAATTGGAGAAAGTTGATTTGCTATTTATGATTAGAAATGTTATAAAAATGACTGAAATAGATTTGTTATGATTCAAATTTCAGGTACTAGGAAGACATTATAGTGTTTCTTTGATGATTGTAGTTTTCATATCTCATTATGACATTATACTTAAAAAGCATAGTTTAGTGAAAACAGTTCTTTGTAGGAATCATTACAACCATATCTTTCATGCTTCTGAAACTTTCCTAAAGATATACCAACGTAGTTTTTTGTATTTCTTCTAAAGAAAAAACAGATTTTTATTTGAGTTCAGGACTTCACTCAAATCTTTACTTGTGCTGTTTGGATTATATCCATTCTCTAATGTTACCTGCATTCACTTTTTTATTTTTCTTTTATTTCTTGAAGTTGTGTTATTTTTCTTTCTTTTTTTTTTTAAGATTTATTTATTTATTTAACAAGCACAGGGTACAGTCAGAAGCGCAGGAGGGTGAGAGAATTCACCAGAGCTGGAGCAGGGAGCAGAGCAGGCAGAAGGACCGAAGTACACTGCTGGGTAGCAGGAGTACACAGCGGGTGCGGCAGGAGAGGTCTGCGCACCATGTGGGACCTTCCCCAGCTGCCAGGGATCGAACCAGAGCTGCAAAGGATGCAGGCAGCTTCACAACCCAGCATTCAACTGCTGCGCCACCGGGGAGGCCCAAGTTGTGTTATTTTTCTTAATGGAGGTTAATGTTGGTTTTCAATAATGTGTATGATTTAGAACTATGTATGGTATCCTCCCAGCAGTGGTTAGAATTAAAATTGTTTTTACATTATCAGGATAATGTAATGATTTTGTATTTAACACCAGAGACCAAATAATGTAATAAGTAATAAATCTTACTTAATTTATATAAGTGACTGTGATTGTAGACAGTGTTCAAGGAGTACTTGTTTTAAATTAGGTAAACTAGAAGTCAGCAATCTGTAACTTTTGTATATAATACCAGATGTATGAATATAAACTTTGAGCACATTTTAGCTATTCACATGTCTTTTTAAAAAGATTTATTTATACATACAAGAACTGGGGTACAGGCCAGAGGTGTGGGGGGTGAGAGGATTCACCAGGGACAGAGTGGGGAACAGAACAGGCAGATCGACTGAAATACACTGCTGAGGGGAGCAGTGGATGAGACAGGAGAGGTCTGCTGCGCCATGTGTGTATTGCCCTGGCTTGAGATCAAACTCGCACCACAGAGGTACAGACAGCTTCACAGAGCTGTGCTCAACCCCTTGTGCCCCCAGGGAGGTCCTAGTCTCATCTCTAATTTGGATTCAACAGGCAACTGTATTTGATAGGAAGTTAGAAATTACGTCTTCCCCCTCCCCTCAAATTTTTGGCATTTTAATCATTAAGGAGAGTCAGGTTAACATGAATAGTTTGAAAAAAAATCTGTAATTATTCCTTAAATGTAATTTCAGATTCTGAGTCAAGCAATTGCAGTTAGTTTTTTAAAAAGACATTTTAGGATACATAATTATGTACTTTAATTCAAGTGGTATTTGTAAATTTGCATTAATTTATGTTATTTTAGACTATAATATGCATTTGCACTTAATCTACACAGGTTGTATTTGAAATAAATAATACTCGATGCCTTAAAATGTTCTATGATTAATGTATATATTCTATTTGATATATTCTTTGATTTTTGAATCAATGAAATCTTGCAATGAATGTGATGAAATAGAATTGGGCTATTGCACTCTGTCCAAATAATTGTTACAATTAGCAATTAATAAATTAACTTGATCAATAGGTAGGCAAAGTTTGCCAAAGGAAGCTCAAACCTCTATTCTGACCTTTAACTCATGTATGTTTCCTTAGACACTGGACTTGCCAGATAATTTTTACATCTCCACTTTGTACTTACTTTTCTATCTCTTGACTTTCTTATAGCTTATAAATACTAAATGGTTTTTTTTTCTGAGTTAGTTCATTTATTTTTCTTCAAAATTTTTTTTCCATTTCTTTAAATTGAATTCCTGAATGGTATCATTTTTGTTTATTTTCCTTAAGGATAACTTGTAACACCTACTATCTCCATTTTCTATGGAAATAATGATATAAAAATTACATCTACATCCATGAATCCATACTGATATATATTAATGATTGAATAAATTTTTAAAAGGAAAGTAGAATTTTCTTGTGCAGAAGAATTCCTAATGACTATGTATATTTGAAGGAGGTGGAACATGACTTCTTCCACGATTAACCATGAAATGCAGATAATGATTTTCTTCCTAAGTCTTTTGGAAAAAAAAGAATAACTTTATAGAGGAGAAACCTAGTGAACATCATCTCAGCCAGAGTTAAATTCTACTGTGATAAGTCATGTTGATAGAGTGTTCTTTGATAAGATGTGCTTAGAATGAGATTTTAACCTGTTGTCTTCCTCTCCAAGATCCCTAATACAGTCTAATCTTGAGGAAACATCAGAAAAATTACAACTGTGGAAAACTCTAAAAAATACTTAACAAATGCTCCTTAAAATTGTCAGCATCATCGCAGAAATGAGGAAATGTTGAGAAAATATTACAGCCAAGAGGAGTCTAAGGAGAGTTGAAAACTAAATGTAGTATGGTATCCTGGATAGGATCCTTCAACAGAAAAAGAACATTATGTAAAAACTAAGAAAATATGAATTTTAATCTTTAGTTAATTGAAAAAAAATGCATTTGGTAGCATTCCCTTCTATTGGTAGACCAAAATTTATTCCTAGACTATTTATAAGGCTTTCTCAGTCATTCATTTTAACATTGCTAGAACAAAGATATAGACAACAGATAAAAGACAATCTGTAACAAATATTAGAACATTTTCTTAATTTCACATATAAAGCAACACCAATCAGTATACCATGTTGCATAAGGATGACCACCTGATGAATCTTTTCTTTTTTTTTCTTTTAATTTTTTTTAGCTAACAACATTAAAGTGGCTCTTTGTTCAAACTAAATCAGCTAGCACTTGCACAATTACAAGAAAGTGAACCAACAGGTTAGTTCATAGATACTAGTTTTTTTTTTTAGCTACTTTTTAATATCTTGTTACAAAAACCATCACCAAAAATATTCTAGTTTTTTCTCCAATTCATAATTATTTTAAATTTTTAACTTTCCAAGCATATTTTTAATTTAATTTTATTTTTAGTGTTAGGAGTGCTCTGTAATACTGAAGACTTATTTTAGTGGGAGAAAATTGAAGTAGAATCATTGCTAAATTAAGCTGGGAAATAAATATATGTATAATATTGGGTATAACTACCTAGAATAGAAGTTGCTTGGGATTCTGTATGTGACATTTGCCTTGGAGGCAATCTATATTTTAAGATATATTAAAAGAGATTACATTTTTATGGAATCGTGCAGTTTTGGAAATTATATCTGCATGATGAGAGATTATTAGGTGTTGTCTCCCTTACAGAAAAACTTGTAGCAAATGTGTAAATTATGTTTCAGTGTTATTATTTTGAAACTTTATTAGAAATTTGATTAAATTTATTGAAAACTGTCATTTAAATGAAAATGTATATAGGTATCTTTCATATTGCACCGTTAGGGGTAGTGTCTTAAGAAGCACCTTTTGGAGGGACCTTTTGAATTGAAGGAAATTATTTTTATTTTCTGTAGACTATTGTGCATATATTAACAGGCATATTCTCTGGTGACTGGCAGCATAATGTAGCAAAAGAGGGCTCTGGAGAACCATATGGATGTTCTGTGTTCCCATAGCAACTTGGGCATACATTGAAAGATCTCTTCATAGGACTCTATCTATAGTGTAATGAAGTTAGTATAGGTACTGTTTCTTGTTTTTCTTTCCTGATTGCCTACACAGTACTTAAGGTGAAACATTTTGATCTTAACTGATTTTATATTCAGATGGATGGACCACAACATAATATGTAAATATAATTTCAATTCTGCAGCTTAGCATCAGCCTGGTAGTAGAAAAACTACTTTACAGTCCCTAAGTCACAGAAATGAACTCATCAGTTGCAATAGTTTGACCTTGAGAAATGCTAAATGAATATTTGGCTCCCTCCAACCTAGGTGAGATTTGGACAATACTATTTTGAGCATTGCTTTCATTTCCATAATTAATTTTTTTTCTTCTATTATCATTGTTAAAATCAAACTTTAATTTGAAAGAAAGTCTCCATGCAGGACAACTAATGGTACTGATAACAAAGAATATTTTTAATTAGTTGATTATAGTCTTGGGCATAAGGGAAGAATGGGTTAGAATTCTTTGCATGATTTCTATCAGGAAATGTAATTGTGTTCAGCCAATCCTTTTATTTTCCTAAATTTATTGATTTTCAAGTTACTACTGTTTATAATAAATACAAATGAGAAAGATATCAATAATAAAAGTAAAATATGAGAGTTATATATATAATAATGGCCATCATTTAAACAAATATGGACTAAATGTAGAAGATAGAATTTGAAACATTGAGGTAACAGACTTACATTTTTCAATATTTTCTTAAGGGGTACAATGATCCACAAGGTCCATCCATATCTTGTTAACTATTACTATTCTATTTTAACTTAAAACACCTCACATTTTTTGGTAATTTGTTTCTAAGGAAGAATTGCATAAAGATCAGTTGCCTCTTCAATCAATAAGGTACTGAACCACTACTCAGCTTTTCATCCTTAACATTACTCTGTGTATTTACTCACTTTATTACCAGATACTATTGATTCTAGGGTACCTCCTCATTTTTTCTGGAGTAAGAATCTCACACTCAAGTATGAAGTCTGCATGGCTAGACAGAAAGGCATCCTTCAACAAAGGGAGTGATGATTCTGATACTGTAGTGTGAAAGCTCCACCTCAAGACATTAAAAGTATACTTCTTTTTCAACATTTTGGTATGTTGTGATGTCCATTAAAGACAAATCTCTTGGCTAAATTCTTTTATCAGCATTTTGCTAGTACTACTGTATCTAGAGTGCATGTTCTTAACCTGGGGTTTAGGGACAGAATTTACCTTTATTTAGATGTCCTATGGGAGTCCAATGAGCATGCGGAAGTTTCCTTATACCAACAAGCAATTCTCAAACACCAGTGTGGTATCCAAGAATTCAGCTCAGTTCAACTTAATTCGAAATGGCGCTGCAGAGGCTTCGGGCAGCTTCACAACCCAGCGCTCAACCGCTGCGCCACTGGTGAGAACCCTGAATGAGTTTTTAATTAATTTTTATTTTTTTAAATTTTATTTATTTTTTGGTTTATTCATTCATTCATTCATTCATTCATTCATTCATTCATTCAAGCACTGGGTACAGTCAGAAGCGCGGGAGGGTGAGAGAATTCACCAGAGTCAGAGCAGAGAGCAGAGCAGGCAGACAGACGAAGTACACTGCTGAGAGGAGCAGCAGAGGTCTGCGCGCCATGTGGGAGGCTCTTAATTAATTTTTAAATCTGGAAGTTTTCTTATATAGTAAATTAATTTACAGTTTTTAAAGAACTTCTCATGACTGAAAGGGTCAATTCTTAGAAACTAACACTTGAATGGGACAAAAGGAGTTTTTTTTTAAATTCTAGAAATAGTTCAGGGAGAATCTTGTACAGGTTCTTCGGCTTCTTTGAAATCAATCATTGGTCTGAGAAGTCACCTTTCAAACTGTAATATGTTGACTATGTATTACCTTTGCAAGTGATTTGTAGTTCCCAGGAAAACTCAATGCTTCTGATCTCACATACTGAAAAACAAAAGTTAAGAACTCACAACAAAATTGTCTTTTTTGAATTGCAAATCTCTGGCTGTTCAACCAGAAAGAATTCTGTCAGGCTGAAATAGAATCATATTCTAGCTTCTAAAATATCTTTATTACACATACTATTCCTAGTTTATTGTCCTTGCTTTCTCATTTTTTTAATGGTTCGTGGTGAAAGAGAACTAGAATTTGCAGAAATCTTTAAAATATTTTTCTTATTGTGTAAAGAATTTATTGCTTCTATATCCTCCAACCAGTATTTCTGAAATTCCTATTGATTTGTACACTTCTATAACCAGTCAGAGGAATTATTATCTTACAAAAAAGTAATTTGTCTTAATAGAAGAGTTTATCATTAATATTTTGGGGAGACAATCACTTTATCCAAGTGGCAAACGCTGCAAGAGAAAGGCACATGACAGTGTGGCACACACTTGAAATATGGGTTTAATATTAGTTTAGCTCCTTTGGACTGCTTTCAGAGCCCTCCTAAAGTTTAGATAATCTAGTAGAAAACAGGTCAGACAGGAAGTTAATGCTTTATTCCCCCTACCTCTTTGATTTTAGGCATTCTCAAAGTGATGGTTATAGTATTATTTGGAAATATATAATTGTGTAATTCATTGTCACATAGTTTTTGGTTAAACAAATATAACTTCCGAAGTTTCACTCAAAGGTGTAAGATGTAGGTGTAAGTACTATTAACTGTTTTATATTACGCACAAACACTATTTTATTAAATGCATAGGAAGCTTCATTTTATGTCATCTTAATTTTATTATTATTATTTTTTGTATTTAAGAGCAGGTTTATTAGAAAAGGGACAGAAGAGTAAAGGACACTTGCATAGACACAAGTGGGCAGGAAGAGCTGACATATCTTAATTTTAGATATATAAATTTCATGTCTTCCATGAAATTAATGTATTAGTTATTTTTGATACAAGAGACATTTGAATGAATACAGATTACCAACTTAATGAAAATGTCTTATTTTTCCAATGCAACAGTGATATTTGAGGTAACTTTTCTAATTTAGCTTATATCTGTTTCATCAGTCAAAATAGCAGCTCAAATTGTTTAAGTAGCAAACTCTGATCTCTTTACTCTTTCTCCTTAACTCATTTTTTTGGAAATGTGACTATCAGTTAATATTAAATGTCAAACTGTTTCTATTTTATAAAGTATGATTATGGATAGCCTCTATCACATATAATACATTTTACAAGAAGGACTATTTATAAGGTGTAAAAAATTGTACTGTTTCTCTATAAGTAATGATCATTGGGGAGAAATATGATATTCAGAAAGGGGTTACTTTAATAATAAATATGAATTGAGTGACTTCTTAATTAGACTTGATTAGCTGGTGTGTGAAGTATTTTGCTTTTTTATTTCTCTTCTATGCATTTTCCTGATCAGACACTAAATAAATGATCTGTAAGAAATGATGGACAAGGGATGTTGAAAAAAAAAGAAATTTTAATAGTATATTTTCAAATTTGAGAGTAGTTGTAAAGGATCAGTGATTGGAGGTTCTGTTGATTATTAAATGTAATGGTTATTATGAAATAAATGTTCTGTTTTATACTGTGGAAGAGAATTTATAAACTTTACAAATGAATTAAGATAACAAAAAAGTATAAAATAACTGAAGATCTTGCCAACAAATATGAAAATTCTTCAGTCAAAATTGTCCCTCAGAAACTCAGGCAAAAGAATAATTCCCTATTATTTTTATATTGGTTGTAAATAAATTATATAGAAATACTTGTGTATTTCATTGATGATTAAGGTGGGTAACAATTCACATGGGGTGTTTTAGTTCTCTGAGAAAGAAAACAAAAACCAAGATATAATCTCGACACCACAAATCTGATTGTCAGGCTTCAAATAGGGGATTAAGGCCTCCCTTTCTTTTTTTTCCACATTCCTATTTATAGACTTAAGAAAAATTTGGCATCCCTGTTATAAGAAGAAAATGGCAAAAGGTTATAAAACACTGCAGAGAAAACATTTTTAATGGGCCTCTTAGAACCCTTAAATAAGAAAGATCTGAAATAAGGTTATTATAATGAAACCAGTGTTTTTAGACATGTTTTCCAGTGTTATTTCTACTTATCTGTACTGCACAATTAGTGGTAGGCAAGTTAGGTTGTAAACTGTGAGAAAAATATTTTCCAGCTCTAGCTGCTAGCTCTGCTGCAGGCAGCTGGGTATGTTTTCCAGAAATAGAAAATGGCTGTAACAAACAATAAAATATAGGC